AGAAATTTTATAATATAAAAATAATAGAATTATTTGATTGTTAGAAGATATTTATTTTATATGTAATGTACTTAGAGCTTTACTTTTTATTTCTCATGTTGTGTTAGAGTTTGATAAAATACCTAGCGCTGAAGCATTTGCATCTAAAATATTTTGTATCTAAAGTATTTAATCATTTGATATGGTTCTCAGAAATAGAAGTATTAAAATACTTTTTAGTTCTGTACACAATATTGACATTTTGGAACATTTCAACAATATTGTAGCAATGTTACAACGTTGCTACAATACTATATTGTTAAAATGTTCCAAAATGTTTCTTGCTTACCGAGAAGTTACAGTAACTATCTAAATGTATTGTAATAAACGTGTATATTAAATTTCATAAAATTTTATAAAAAATACAAAAGTTAAATTGTATAAAGTTTCATGAAAAATTCATAAAATTCATAAAATTTTATGTACCCAAATATACTTTTCAGTTATAAAATTTAATATAATGTGAAATTAAATTCAAATTGTGTAACTTAAAAATACATTAAATTTCATGGAATTTTTAACAATGTATGTATGAGGAATATATTTGTTTTTAAAAAAGTCTGTTATAATACTGAAGATGAACGAATTGTTTATATTATCGCTCTTTTAATGAATTAATAAATTATAATTTCTGTAATAATTAGTTTTAACGTAGGCTTTGCTTCTTTCTCGAGTTAAGTTTGCATTTAATGTTGTATCTTGAAGAAAATTTGTTATATTTAATGTGCCGTAAATTGAAAAAGATTTTTAAATGTTTAAGATGTAGTCACGGTTTAAAATGTAGTGCAGACTTATTTGTAATTTCTTTTTAAAAATATTTTTTAAGTGATTAAATAAAAGATAAATATTTCAAGATATTGTTCGTATATGTATATTACGCAACGTGATGACAATGCTATTTGACCATTAATGTGATTATGCATGCGTACCAAAGTAGTGAAGAATGCGTGATGAGTTTCATGAATCATGGAAGTAGATATGTAAAAAAAAGTATAGTTTTTCTGTATTTTTTAAAATTAAAAGATTATGTAAATGATAATACGCTAGAATCAAAGTTTACTCATGTCAATAGTTCATAACCATAAAGCGAAGTATATAATATCGTATATATATATAATATTTAATTATTGCAAATAAAATAGTAATTTTTGAAATAATAAATTTAATTTTAAAATAGTAAATTT